ATTCCCCCGAATCACCCCGTCAAGAGCACGGGGGAATCCGGGGATTGTGCTAGCAGGGTTGATATTCCACAAAACAGTAATGTGACCACTAGACTACGACATGTGTGCTGCCTTCTTGTGCATCCTCCAAACTTGAAACTGCTTGCTAGATAGTTTTTATCGATGTATTTTTATTGTTAAGCCTTAGCTAGTTAAACATCAGCTGTGTAGGTCAGTTTACTGTGGGATATTATTGCAGGCACTTTTTAATCCGTGTAAGCAGAGCCAAGACTACAACGTAATATTTTCCGTCTAAATGCGTTTTTAACAATTTTCTACCGGCTCTTAATAGCCTTGATGGGTTCTACAGTAGCAGAAGTGCGCTACATCTGTTTATAAATTTATGTTCTTGCCTTGCAGTCCGTGGTCGTTTATTGTTCATTAATTAATTCAGGGATACTCTGTATGCAACATTTACAGGAGGTTTACACATCGGTAGTCTCAACATAGTTTGCATAGTATTTAAATTAAAGTATTGCTTCTTTTGGGCTTGAGCAGCCAAATAAACCGATTTTGTCCCTCAATCACACATTTTTTTAAATAACGAAAAGAAACCAGCTGTCTCTTTTTTACGAACCGTTATGTCCTCCACTGGGATATGTGGAATAGAAGAGAAACGGGCTAGCAGAGAACAAATTTATCATAACAGTTTCCGTGTGTACATCATTTTCTCTGCGTGTCCGTCAACTTCCCCTCCCTCCTATATGTGGCGTCGTATTTAAGGACAACCAGCCTTTGTCCATTTTGTAAGTACTTATTTGTGCATCCCGTAAGCCACCTATCCAGACGGCCGTCACATAATATTGGTCCCCTATAGGTCGCGCATAACCTGGCAGTGTGCGGTTTCGTTTGTTGGGGCCTCTTTGTCATCCTGACTCCAGGACGGATAAAGTGATCTGTGCCGTACTAGCATGAACTTTTCCATGACACAAGTTCACGGACATTAGAATATCAAGGTTACTTCTAAATAAACGCAGGGTCTTTAAATCGTCGCTAGTAACCATTATTGAAATACCCCGCGCAGTCGCTCTAGGGATGCATTTTATTGTTAGTCCGTTATCAGTCTCGAATGCTTGGCGGAATTTGCTGTTTACTTAGTTTTACTTCAAGCACAAGACTGATTGTATCAGTGTCGGTTTAGCGGAGGAACGAAGGCGAAAGCCTTTGGGTTCCTTTTTGGTAAAAACATGATGGGAAATAAATGGATACACAAAAAGAGTTGAAACAAACGTCCATTACACCTTGTAGGCGAAAGCAGACTCGTTGTCGGTTTGTCGAAATAGTAATAAACCATTGCTACTCACTTTGTACGAGTACTATAAGAAGTACGCGTAATATCTATGTTCTTGTGTATGTCTCTTGGATAAGTGCCTGATGAATAAGGCATTTGGTACATGTTAAGTTTGCTCTTAAGTGTATTAACACAGGTGAAAAAGACAACTTCTTCGGGAAGTGCAATCGACCCTACAACAAATATGTTACTGGAGTAAAATTTACGTCCATCGATCCTTGCTTTACCGAGGCGTTGTTTTAGAGGATGACTGCGCAAAGTGGGCGTATTAGCCTTGGTTAAAAAATCATCGGAAACAAAGCAACAGTTTCGCACTTGACCCTAAAAAGCTATCTCTTCTTTGATTCACCTTCAAATTAGACATATATCCTTATCGAACTCTACTTCAGAGTCGTCTCTTTAGTAATTTTTCCCGCTAAGTCTGTTTTGGCTGTTTCTTGCTGTTTCTTCTGATCAATTGGAACGCCTTCGTTTGTCTTGTGCCGGATCTTCCTGTCTCCTCTTAAGAACGTATAGGGCTTTCCAAATATATTTTAGGTATGAGCCGGGTGAAACATGCAACTCCAAATTCTCCAGCCTTGCCTCGCCCTTCGAAGAGTGCCGGGCAGAGTGCGTAGGCATATACCTGTGTGACGTTGTCGATATACTCAAGATCTTCGACCCGGAGGACAGATTCATTTCTGAAGATGTAATTTATATCAACTGGCTCAGTATGGTTCGCGCCGGACTTACGAGTTTGGAGTTCTATACGCCTCCAACCAGCAGCGGCGATTCCGGCGCTTGGCGTCAGGCCCACTGTCAGGCTCGGTTTGCCATTTTCAAGGTTGGTATACACTTTTCGCTTATCCATTCCGATATGAAGTACTAGGTTACGGGGTGCTCTGGTGCACGAGGTGTTAAAAAACTTAGTTTACGAAGAATGCCCCCTACAGCACGACTCACCTTCGTCAGCAGATTATTATGGTCGTTAACCTTTGCCGTGGAAGGTGGAGGAATAGCATATGTCTACATAATGCTCACAGTTTTAAAAACGAAGTGCTGATTTTCAGTTCAGAGTACAATCTGTCCATCGTTTATTCTCAGACTAATACATAACAATTTGAGGATAACCACATCTGCTCATTGTTATCCAAAAATACCTCTAAAACAAACGATATTTAGACCGTTCGTGTTATTTGCCAGCAGATTGTACCCTTACCGAAATTGAACAGTTTATAGGGCTCTGTATGCAGTCGTCCATATGAGCAAAATAGAAAAACGACAGTGGCCAACGTAAGACGTGCAAACGCTAATTAATGAAAACGAAACCATGTGAAAGGGGGAATTTGAAATTATATCAAGGACGTGTTTGTTAAGCTATGGTCGGCAACTAAAGAGCAGTCCCAAAAAGTCAGTCCGCTTAAAGTTGCTGTACAGTCCTTTGTTGTTTGAAAACGCTAACGGGCGTCCACAATCCTATGAATCACTTCTCAACATTAGCAATTCCCAAAGAAATTCTGCACGTCAGGCTCAAACAATTAAACGAAGAAGCAGTTAATGGCATTTTGACAGCTCCCTTTAGATGTCTTTTTCCCAAACTTCGTTTCATTACGTAGAATTTTGTGGTACGGGTAATAGAAAAAGCTATGGTAAGAGCATGTTCTGGAGCCTCAGAAAGGTACTTATATAATATACCCAAATACTTTTAAATATTAAGTAGGTTGAATTTTCCACAATCTTCCTGTTTTAATCACGCCAGCCGTTGGTCCAGTAGGGATTGGCTGATGATATTGAACTGCGGAGGGGTTCTTGGAGGGACACCATGTACAATAGCCGCTTAAGTCAGTATATTAAGTGGAATGGCTTTTAAAATTAACCATGGAAGTAATCGTTTACTTACAAATTTTAAGTTGGGTGAATTTCCGAAATCTGCCATCTTCTTCACTCATTCGCCATAGCTTTACTTGGGGATAGCGAAATCACTAAAAAGGCACCTCAATGACGTCGCCTGAGGTCAGCGAACACCCTTTCAGACATACATGCGCTCCCCATGGGTCCAGTAGGGATTAGTGATGACACTAAAATATACTTCAATGCTCTCGCCCAAGGTCTGGGCACATCTTCAAACTTACCCTTGTAACTTCTTTATTCTACAGGATTACTGCGAACTGATGTGTTCCCCGACATACCCCGACCATACTATCCCCTAAAACCAGATGTCCGTAATATCGAGGGGCGCGCTTCGCGCCGCACTCAGGCGGTCCCACGACATACTCCTACCGAAGCGTTCATAACTGGAGGCGTTATTGCCCTACTCCTAGTACCACTAAGAGACAGCTTCCCCACAAATCGCCGGTCTTCTTCTAGGCACGCGAAATTGCCAACATATTGCGACTACTGACCATAGGAGTTGAGGGTTGTCTAGTTCTATTACAGCTGTTTGGCAGGCATATCGCAGGGGGTTCAGTTAATAAGGAAGATCCTCGCCTCTGCGATCTTCAGGCCCGGTTGCCTAGGCGAAGAGAAGAACGGAGGCGCCAAGTGGGAGGGATACTTGATTTTGTACAGAAGAAGTGGAAAATTAGTTTGAGGAAGTTGATTGTCTGACGAGCAAAGGTCTGCACTCGAGCGAGGCAGTGTCCGAAGTGTCTGAGCGTGGCAGTCCCACAGCGGTCTTTGTGTGAATCAGTCTTGAAGGCGACAGGCCAGGCGGATTGGGCTCAGCCTAGAAGTGCGCACGTGTTAGCGCGGCGAAGGGTTAAGTGTTGCACCTGAACCTGGGCCACTACAAGTATTCTATCCTCGGGTCAGGTGGTGGAAGTGAGGTCACCGATCATGTTACGTCACATGCTCGTCCTCTTGTGGCAGCCTGAATTCGGTAGTGCTGCGCGTATTCACCTCCCTCTCATCTTCCAAACCTTTGTCTAGCCGCGCGCCCAGCGCTGACTCATCTTCTTACCTCTGCGCGCTCTTGTACTTTTGCGCCACCGCTGTCGACGCGTCCTCGCCCGGAGCTAATCGATTCCTCGAGAGCTCTGGCGCCAACACCTGCACCCTTTCCTGATTGGCTGATTACTAGATAAGGCTCCGCTAAACCCGCGCGCATAGATACTTTTACACCTACGCAGCTAGACCTGCCGACAATTATTACGGATGGGCTCGTTTCTTCAATATCAGCCCTTTTAGCAATTTTGCGTGCTACGTCCTTATTATTTTGGCATAATACTCGCTAGGAGCTTCGGTAGTTCGTCCGGACATCGAAATTCAACACTCATGTAATT